CACCTACTTCTTACCAACAGTAAGGAGGCGCATCACATGTCCTAACAGGAACAGGACAAAGAAACTGCATTAATAGAAACCAAATGTGAAAAGGACCTGGGTGTGTGTGTTAACAATAAACTAAAGTTCTCAGGCCGTTGTGAGAAGAAGGTGAATCAAGCAAGTAAACCTTTACTTTTATCCTCTTCACCATTGATCGGCTCGTTAGCCGCTTGGGCGATCGGTCACGTCTCTGTTACGCACACCGGCTACTGAGTAATGCCCCTTGAGATGCTTATACACCTCAATTAGGTCGCCCCTTGCCCGTCCGTAGTATAAGCTAGGCAAGTTCAGGCGCTCCATTCTCTCAGGGTAGTTGAGGTGTCGAAGTGCAGGAACCAGTCTGGTGGCCCTCCTTTGAACATTTTCAACCAACTAACAGTCCCTAGCATATCTCAGGGACCAGACGGGGTGACAGTACTCCAGATGGGGAAGCACTTCGCTCTTGAAGATCGTTATGAGGGACGGTCTAGATATCTGAACGACCTTCTTATAAGACCTAATAATTTATTTGCCTGATTTACCTTCTTCTCGCTAGTAAGTCTTATAAAGGCGGCGTCACTCTGGCATTCTTTCGTCAACTTTTTTTTCAACTTTCAGAAAATCCTCCAACTTTTTTGTTGTGCACCGTCACACATCGGTTTAGAACCAACTCGCCAGTACCCTCGTTCGACAACTGTCAACAAACAATATGGATCCAACTGACGAAGAAAGTGCAGCAATTCTACACCTTTTTTGGTGTATGCAGAGTCCTAGTGGTCCCAGAGACAGCGGCGCTGCCTTATCTGGTCCACCAAAAACTCCTCGGAGAAGCGTGTCCATACTTGGGAAATTATTTTATCTGTTGGCTCCGTCATGTAATTCCTGCATGGTCAAAATGTAAACAACAAATTACATTTTCCTATCTTTTTAAAATCACGAAAATAAACGTAATAAAGGGTATTCTTGGGAAGAGGAGTAATATTTATCTCATAATAATTTTAGCTTTATATTTTAAGTAGAAATTAGTTTATTTTTTTAACTATTTGTAGTATCAATTATAGATCTTGAGTTGACTCCGGTAAGTTGTCGTACGAGTTGTCAGTGCAGACGGTCTGTACCGTCTGACAAACAGCCAACGACAACTTCGACGATTCGTGAAAAGAGTTGACAGTAATGAAAAAGTTGACAGTAGAAATGCTAGTGTGACGCCGCCTTAAGAAGGTCGTACAAATATCTAGACAGTCCATGCCTCACAACACTCTCCAAGAGTGAGGTGCATCCCCGTCTGGGGAGTACTGTAACCCCGTCTGGTGCCCGAGATATGGTGTATAAACATCTCAGAAGGCACTACTCAGTCGAGTGTCCATACTTGGAGCTGGCGGACGCCCGCCCCACAAGGAGTCCCAGCTCAAAATTGAAGAACCCACAAGTTCAGAAAACTGTGACGATTTTTTTTTTGAGTGAGAATTGTGAACTCTTGGAACAATCTGCCAGAGTAAAAAGTGGGTGTGAGTTCTTTGAAGACTAGACTTCACCAACACTGGAGCAGGTTCAGATACATTCAGGAGCCATTGCATGCCCAGTACTTGCCAACAGTGCGTAACAGAGAAGTGACCGACCGCCCAAGCAGCTAACGAGCCGACAAGTGGCGAAGAGGATAAAAGTAAATGTAAAGGTCATACAACATCCGTGTAAGCCAAAAGTATTATTGAGAGTAAGCTCTCTGTTAGGTGTTAACAGTACGATACTGTTTTCGGAACCACATCAAGGTAACTGCTGAACTCATTATGGCAACTCACAAAAATAAATGATGAAAATAAAATGTGAACTCATTAAGGTAACTTATCAAAACACCGTGTGAACCCATTAACGTAATTCATCAACGTAATGTGTGAACTCATTAAGGTAATTCATCAACGTAATGTGTGAACTCATTAAGGTAACAGGAAAACACACATGAAGGTAGAACTCACATGAATCCAGTATCACAGGTGTAGTGTGCCTTAGCACCTGCCAGCTTGCCCTCCGCAGTGTTATCCTTCCCGTTGGTCAGCGGGGCGGGTGGGTCACCTGCACACTGTAATACTGTAACGCACAGGTACAATTTTTGAGTGATGTGCTGCACCATTGTAACACACTTTATCACTGTAACTGATATTACTCTTTGATATATCGCTGTTACACTGTAAAACACCATATCACTACCACTAGCTATCACTGGTACAGTCACCCAAAAAAATCCTGTCGCGAACCACGATTCAGACTCGTGAACCCGAAGCAGTAGACACTGATACATTATTCTGTCCATAAATGCTTCGGATTCAAGAGTCTGAATCTCGGGGTTCATGGTTCGCGACAGGAGTTTTTTGGGTGACTGTACATTATATCACTGTAAAACACTATCATTAACATTCTTTATCACTATAACACCATAAACTATCAATATAACATAAAAACACACTGTAACACACTCTGTAGTCACAAAATAATGGCAACAGGTGTGGTCCAGTAAACTATAGTATCTTGAGGGTGTTGACCGTGAGCACTGTACCTGTCACACTGTTTAAGGTGAGCGTTGAGTCGGAACTTGGGAGAGTGATCGGCTCCGGCTGTGGAAGTGAACCAATACATTAGTTCAGCCTAAATTATTACCTAAACTACGGATATGATTAAGGCCTAATTCTAATAGGCTCCAATAGAGCTGAGGTCTAGGCCCCCAGCTAACTTAACCAATAGGGGTGAGGTCGAGGCTCCCATGTAGCTTAACAATAGGGTTGGGTCGATTTAGACTTGAGGACCATTAGGCTTTGACAGAGGTCTATTAGGATTAGGACTATTGTGGATTGGGCCCAATTTTATTTATTTTTATGTTAGGTTGGTAATACTAAGGGCTGAGGCTTAGGATCCGGTCCTTATAGTTAGGGGTAAGTAAAGGGAAGGATGAGCATTACAGTAATAGTACAGTCTCCGTGCAATTTCTTACCAAATTCGAGTAGGATGAGTTCCTGCCCCGAAGTGTAACCAAGACGACGAAGTTAAAGGATGTGGCTGTAATCTCAGAGGTCACATTATACGAGATTAAATCCAGGTCTGTGATGAAGTCACCATCAGTCACATCTATCGGGAAGCGCTGATACAACTGCGAAAAAAGAACGTTCCTTAAGTACATTTTCCTCAATATAGAACACTCATTAGAATATTATGAAGACAATAAGACAATAATCAATGCACTTCCTTCCATTACTGAACATTTTCTTCTATTACTGAACACTTCCTTCCATTACTGAATACTTCCGTTATTGAGCACTTTCTTCCGTTACTGAACATTTATCCTATCATCGAGCACTTTCATCCTTTACTTAGCATTTCGTTCCGCTTAAAATATGTGAAAGTGTGTGTGTGTGTGTATGTGTGTGTGTGTGTGTTCTAATATTGTTCTTTACTTTATCCTCTTCGACACTTGTCAGTGTATTACTTGGCAATCGGTCAGTTGTTTCAATGCTTTTCTGCTGTTTTTATCCATATACAGTATTACTCTCCCTTACCATTCTCTACATTTCTTGAGATTTCTGTTTCTTTTGTGTACCAGCTTACAAAAAGTGGGAACAGAAGAAGGGTACAGTATAAGATAGTTTATATCACTGCCGTTGACAATAGTAAAGCAACATGAGTAAAGGAGTGAGGAAGAAAAAATGAGACCAAGATAACCCTAGGAAATAGTGTCACAAATGACGTCAGGAAGGGTGTGATCTTTACCTCTGATGTCATGTTAGCGACGAGAGACGTAGTTTCTTCCTCGGTTAAATCGACGTCATTCTTTGGCGTAGATAACTTTACCTCTAGCCGTGTAACTGTGGGCAGAAAGGGTACTCCTGACGGTACATGACGTAGTGTGACAGGGAGTAATAGCATGTACATTTGAAGTGACGGTGAATAATAGCATATGGTGGAGTATGATAGTGAGATGACTGAGATCCATGACGGAGTATGATAGCGTGTGATGTGTGACGGACTGCGGTGAAAAGTAGCGTATTGGTAAATAATAGCGTGTGATGTGAGTAATGCGACATTGTATATGCATTATGCTTGCATGTGATGGTGCATAACAGTGTTGACGGGGTGAAGTGGATACTCTTGTAGGGTTACGTGATATTATGTTGTCTAGCACTCAGGATGGATGGATGGAAACTCTAAGGTGGTGGTTTTCTTATATAATATAAGTTATATGAAAGATATTCTGGTGCTGGAGATGCCGTGTGGTGAGGAGCTGCTCAGTAGACACTTTCGGTGAGTAGCGTGCTGAAGGAGGTAGATGTGCAGGAGCTTCGTTAGAGGAGACGTTGCCTGTTGCTGGCCTCCAGGTTGAATGAGAGCTGGACAGCGAGGAGCTTGCTTGGAGGAGGTGTTGCGTGTTCAGGAACGTAGAGTAGAATGAATCTTAATGGAGAGACAGAGCTAAAATACACAGCAGCCGGAAGTAAACCCGTGGGAACCCGCTGAGCTGACCCCCCCCCGTGTTGCTAGGATATGCAGTCGGTGACGCCTCGACCCCTGGCTGCCTGTTTGGTTGCTAGGATACTGTCGCATTGGAATGCAGATATCAGTTGATGTTGTCCGGGTTGTGTCCCACACATAACACATACCGGGCAGGTGTATGTACGACTCGACCACTACGTGTAACAACTCCGTCTAGTGACACAAAACCTGTGGGAGAATTAGGAGGAGAAAGAGGGTTTGGGATTAGAGGAGGTTGTACAAGCAATGGTTGTTGTGCTCCTGCTGCTGCAGGGGCTGCGTCAGGAGGAGGGTCCATGGCAGGAACAGGTTCTATGATAGGTGCAGGTTCTATGTCAGGAGGAGGGTCCATGGCAGGAGCAGGTTCTACAGCAGGAACAGGGTGTACATGAGGGTGAAAAGAGGGTGCCCAGAAATGTCGTGGGCGTGGTGTTGCTGCCGGTGGTAACTGCGGGTAGACTGGTGCAGGCGTAGTTTGTTGATGGTGCTGCTGGGCTACAGTCCATATCCTCCTTGTGTGACGCACGGATGCCGAGGAGCACTAAGGGAAGAGGATCAGTCCAGCTGTAAGGGTCGTGCTGTGCCTTGAATGCGTCCTTCAGCTGCCGGTGAAAACGCTCTACCATGCCGTTGCCTTGAGGGTGGTATGCTGTAGTGCGTTGCCTAGACGTGCCGAGGAACTGTAGGAGGTGCTGCCAGAGTTGTGACTCAAACTGGACTCCTCGGTCAGTGATTACGGTTGCGGGGGGGCCAAAACGGGAAACCCAACCGGACATGAAGGCGCGGACAGTAGTCTCTGCTGTAGCATTGGGCATGGGAATTGCTTCTGTCCACCTGGTGAAACGGCCGATGCAGGTGAAGATGTAGGTGCTACCGTAGGCTGATGGAAGAGGTCCCACGATGTCGAGGTGTACTACTTGAAAACGTCCTTTGGGAATAGGGAAGGTTTGTAAGGGGGCCCGTATGTGACGATGTATTTTGGAGGACTGGCAGGCCAGGCACTGGGCAGCCCATTTCTTAGTATCAGACTTGATGCCGGGCCAGACGACACGTTGCGTGAGGAGGCGCTGGGAGGCCCGCACACCCGGGTGGCTGAGACCATGGATGCGGTCGAAAACAGCGCGGCGGTGGACGTGAGGCACGAACGGTCTAGGCTGCCCACAGGATTCGTCGCACCACAATTTTATCTTTGTGCCAGGAACAGGGAGTTCTTGGAGTATGAGGCCTGAGGGGGATGTCTTGTATGCTGCCAGGTCTTAGTCTTTCTCTTGAGCCGCGGCTAGCTGCCCATAATCAATGGGTGGAGATGAGGGAAGAATGTTGTATATACAACGAGAGAGGGCGTCGGCGATCTCGTTGTGGCTGCCTTTAATGTGTTGGACGTCGCTGGAGAACTCCGAGAGGTAAGCCAAGTGGCTCAGGACACGAGGTGTATGTGACTGGGAAGCTGAAGCGAAGGCGTGGACGAGGGGCTTGTGATCAGTGAAGATGGTGAACTGACGGGCCTCGAGGAAGTGCTGGAAATGTTTGACGGCCAGGTATATGGCCAGGAGTTCTCGATCAAAGGCGCTGTACTTGAGGTGTGGTGGTTGAAGCCGTTGTGAGAAGAAAGCAACGGGCATGAGAATTCCGTTGATCTCCTGCTGTAAGACGGCGCCCACTGCAGTAGAAGAAGCGTCTGTTGTGAGAGTGGTCCGGGCGTTAGGTGCGGGGTGGGCCAGGAGGGTGAGGCGTGTAATGTGCTGTTTGATAGTGGTGAATGCCGTGGCAGCCTCTTGAGTCCACACGAAAGACTTGTGAGACTTCTTTGGGCGTCCCTTGAGAAGGTCGTGTAGGGGGGCTAGGACGGTGGCAGCTTTGTCAATGAAGCAGTGGTAGTAGTTGACTAAACCCAGGAATTCTCGGAGTTTCTTCGCCGTTTCAGGTTTGGGGAACTCCCTAATCGCAGTTATCTTCTGTGGTAGGGGTTGTATGCCACTGGGCGAGACTCTGTGACCGAGGAAATCGATGACCGAGGTTCCAAAGACGCACTTAGCAGGATGAACTTTCATGTTGTTGTTCTGCAGGCGTTGGAGAAGGAATTGTAGGTGGTGGCGGTGCTCGGCAGGCGTCGAAGATGCGACGAGGATGTCGTCAATGTAGACGGTGACAAAATCGAGGTCGTGAAGCATGTGGTCCATGTACCTCTGGAAAGTCTGTGCTGCATTGCGTAAGCCAAAACTCATGAAAGTGTACTCGAAGAGTCCAAACGGAGTGGTGATGGCTGTCTTCTGGGTATCTGCCGGTGCTACTGGGATCTGGTGGAAGGCACGCTCCAAGTCGATCTTCGAGAAGATAGTCTTGCCATGAAGTTTGTGGTGAAAGTCCTGGACATGCGGAATAGGGTACCTGTCAGGTTTGGTGACGAGATTCAGGGCTCTGTAGTCGCCACACACCCTCCACTCGCCGGGTGTTTGCTTAGGAACCATGTGAAGAGGCGATGCCCAGGGACTCCTTGAAGGGCGAATGATGCCGTCTTGCAGTACTTTGTTGAATTCTACTTTGGCTGTGTTCAGGAGCTCAGGGCGCAGGCGGCGAGGGCGTGAAAAGACTGGTGGTCCTTTGGTTTCGATGTGGTGGAAAATTCCCGATGTAGGTGGTGGGGGTAGGGAGACTCGGGGTGAGAAAAGCTCCTTGAATTCGTCGAGCAGGGAGAAGAACTCGTTGGAAGGCGCAAGACAGGTGATAGTGTCGGTGTGTCTGGCACGAGAACCCTGGATCTTGCGTGCTGTAGGCTCATGGATGAGGCATAGATGACTTGGTTTGACGCCAAGTTTGTGGAAGGTGAGGAAGTCGAAACCAAGGATGGGTTGAGACACGTCTGCTATCACGAATAACCAACGCAGTCTTGGGCAGACCGAGGTCTAAGGCGAGGGTGCGTACGCCGTAGGAAGCGATGGAGGTACCGTTGGCAGCGAACAGGTCATAAGAGGGTTGCTTTGACTTGTCTTGTAGTGAGGGAGGGATGAGGCTGACCGATGAACCTGTGTCGATGAGGAACTTCTTGCCGGAGGTGCGGTCGGTGACGTGCAGTAATGAGACGCCTGAAGGGACGGAGGCTGAGGCGTCTACCAGCCTCCGGTGTTGCCGTTTCCCGAATAGGTGCAATAGGGCTCACAGTTTCGAGCATTGCGGCCGAAAGTCTGGTGATACCAGCAGAGGGTATATTTGTTGTGCTGGGGGCTGGATGTTGTGCGTCGGAACTTGTAGGGCGTGGTGTGAGTCAGGAACTGGCACAGCAGCGGGTTTGGAGGAGCAGAACTGCTCAATGGTGTCCATCCTGCGGTTCAAAGTTTGCAACAGGTCCTTGATGTCTTGTGAGGTATTGCTCGACTGAGGGGTGTTGACCCGGCTTACAAGTTCGGTGGTAGGTACTGGTGTGACCGTGGCGGCAAGGGGTGCAGCAGCGCACTCGTTGAAAATTCTGTCTGCCGCGGTTGCATATAGTTCTGGTGTCGTAGAGTAATCTACTTTGGTCAGGATGTTGCGTACTTCTGTGGGTAGCTTTTGTGTGTGAAGCTGGCGCAGGATAGAGTCGGGGAGTCTGTCTGTGTGACGGGAGTTCAGCCTACATATCTCCTCCCAGAGACGTCCCGGGGTTGAGTTCCCGAGGGAGATAGAGGATAAGGTCTTGCAGGAGATTGGGGCTGGTCTGTTGATAACACGTCTTCAAGGCAGCCCGCAGGGTAGCGAATTTGTTGTCATCTGGAGGGTTGGAAATGGTCTGTGAGACCTGCGTGGCGACTTCCGTGGGCAAGGCACAGAGCAGGGCGCCATACTTTTGCTCGTCAGTCGCTTGTGAGCCGACGAGGGCTGCTTCCACATGATCTAACCAGTCCTCGACGTTGTGGTTGAAAGTCGGTAGAGAGATCCGTCCGTCCTCCATCCTGTGTGAGTGCGTTTTTCCGGGGTCACCATTTGTAGGGTAACGTGATATTATGTTGTTTAGCACTCAGATGGATGTGATGGAACTCTAAGGTGGTTTTCTTTTATATAATATAATATATGAAAGACACAGTCTGGTGCTGGAGATGCTGTGGTGAGGGAGCTGCTCAGTAGACACGTTCAAAGTGAGCAGCACGTTTTAGGAGCAGATGTGGTGAGTCATAGGAGGAGATAAGGCTCGTTGCTGGCCTCCAGGTTGAATGAGAGCTGGACAGCAAGTGAGCTTGCTGGGGAGGTAAGGTGTTCAGGAACGTAGAGTAGAATGGAATTTACGATGATATTTTAGTCTTTAGTTAAGAGGTGAAAGAACATTATTAGGAGTTGAAGGAAAAGTGGTGAAATCTGAATACAGTAGGAGTAGAAAGAATCTTGGGCTCAAATCCAGATCGCTTCATCTTTTCTTGCTGGTGTTTTGTCTTTGTTCACTCCCTTGGGTCGTCAGACCTTTGTATTATTATTTGTTTATTTATATAATGCTGCTTAGTTATTATTATTTGTTATTGCTGGAGTGAGTGAGCCCTTCCAGGTCCTTGTGTAACTGGGGAGGGTAGTCACTTTTTTTTTTTTTTTTTTTTTTTTTTTTTTTTGAGGTGTTAAGCAGTTGTTGCCCAAAGGTACACTGTATGGAGAGGCCTGCCAGGTTCTTAGTGAGCTGGCTGGTCACTCTCTATCTTTATTCTGTAATGTTTTATGTAGAGCGGCAAGTTGAGGGGCAGGAGGTGTCAATTACTTTTCCCAGCCGATATAGCTGGAGGGTAAATCACATTATTATTATTATTAATATTATTATTATTTTTTTTTTTTTTAGTGCTGCCTGGTGTCCTTGTGTAGCTGGAGGAAACACATTTTTTTTTTTTTTTTTTTTTTTACTATGATAAGGAATCAATGTTAAATGTTAAATGTTAAATGTTAAATATTAGTTATGTTTTGTTCCTAAAGGTACACTGCAGTGGAGAGGCCTGCCAGGCTCCCAGAGCTGTAGGGTCACTGCCGGAGCCTCCCCCCCCCGTGTTGCTGGTAGATGGCTGCGCTGGCATTGCCCCCCTGCGCGATGCCTGTTTGCTGTTAGGATACCGTCGCATTGAATGCGGATACGCAGTTGCAGAGTATGCCCTCCACTACACTCTCCCTACAACTGCTGATTGGTCACTTCGCTGCCTGCTTTCCAGCCAACCAGGGCGAGTTCCACAAATCAGACCTCGCGTTCGAACTGCCCGGTGATTCCAGTTGGTTGGCCTAACTCAAGATTGAAACCAACCAACCTATATATCATTCTCATCTCCGTTCATAATTTGACAAAAAGCTCAAATCTGTCTCCTGCTATTACTAAAAACTCTCCTACGATACGCTTATCCTTCCTTACTACGAATACTTTACATTTCAAGTTCAAAGATTCAAAACCCTTCCTCCAACTCGCTCCGTTCCTCTTGACATAGCTCAAAGACTTTACCTCATCTTCCAAACACCTACGACTAGCTACATTTCCATTTTCACCTTCCCTATTTCTTTGACCGAGTGTTGCCTGTGCGTCCGTCCACCTACGTTTCTTTCTGCTTGCGCCGCCGCCGTGGCGGGCGGTTCTTCCTCCGCTTTACCAACATTGCCTGAGGCTAAACCGACAACCAGAGCATCCGCGTTGGCCCTTGCCTGCCCCATCCTGCTCCCCCTCTGCCTCGTCCTGATTGTGATTGTTACACCATCCGCACATTGCCTTACCCTCACGCAAGCAGTGTTTAGCCACTGCACCTATTCTCCTTCTAAAATTCACTTCAATCCCCCTTTATCCTTCCCTGAACCTCTTTCCCCTGTCACTAGCTTTTATTCATTCATTCATTCTCAAGTTGCCCTTAAAAAAAAAAAAAAAAAAAAAGCTCATGTTGCGAGGCAGGGATCAGTAATAACGTATGGGTGATATAGAACGGTCTACACACTCTACAGTATGAGAGCAAGTGTTATAGCATTTGATACTGTTTATGACGGGCCTGATGGTGTATGAGAAGTCTGATGTTCTGTATGGGTGTATGATAGCTTGTGTGATGTAGGTGAGTGATATCGACCGGCTTATATATATATATATATATATATATATATATATATATATATATATATATATATATATATATATATATATATATATATATATATATATATATATATATATATATATATATATATATATATATATATATATATATATTTTTTTTTTTTTTTTTTTTAAGTAAATGGTATTAATATGTACACTTTTCTAATTTTAAGCGTGAGTCAACAATGTGGATTTTCGTGTGTACTTATAAGAGTTATAAACAGATTCTAGTGTATACAGGTACATATTTTATGAAGATAAACAACTGTACATGTGTTCGAGACCAAAAACTTTCCTTGATTAAATTAAAACAAAAAATAAATATAAATAAAAAATACATAATTGAATCACAAGGATATTATGATGGCCTTTGTCATGGGGGTTTTAACAGTCTTCATTTAGTGGGCACTGAACTAGCTATTCTATCCTACGTTTTATTTTTATATATATTTTTAATGCAAATTTACTTTATGGCAATTTGAAAATAATTTTAATGCCACTTGAGATATGTTCTTACTTCTAATTATTTAGTGGTCACTCAACAAGGTTATTTAGGCCCCCAAGATGCATTCCAACTCACCGTCTTCACATATGCAGGGCTCATATTTATTGTTCACGGACTTGGCGCCTGTGTAGGTGTGAACTCGATCCACAAGGTTCTCATGTGAGAATTCACTGATGGCTTGTATGATATCCGGGGTGAAATCCTCTTTGCACAGACAGGTATTCGCCTCCACCAACAGTTGCTTCTCCGCCAACACTGTCAGGGGTGATACATGGCTCCAAACTTAGACAAGTTACCAACAGAAGACCACTACCTTAACACAAGACTAACAACTTAACTCAGGGGTACAAATTTAACACAGGTCCAGTAACACAATAAATTGCTACCAAAATAACGTGTTACCAGCTTAACACAACGCCACTAACATTGGTTTGGAAATAGAGTAGTGGATGAGTGGAACAACTTACCAAACATCATCATTAACGCGAATACGCTGGATAGCTTCAAACATAGGTTGGGTGGATATACGAGCAATAGGGGTTGGGTGTAAACGGGGTTGCTTAATATAAGCCAATAGGCCTGCTGCAGTTTCCTCCATTCATATGTTCCTATGTAATAGAAGGCTACCAACTTAACACAGGGATACGAATAGGGTGACCGACTTAACTAAGGGTTACCAACTTAACACGGCTACTAACCTAACCAAGGGCTACTAATAGGGACACCAACTTTACGTAGGGCTAACAACTTAACTGAGTGCTACTAACAAGGGTACCAACTAAATGTGAGGTTGCCAACTTAAATGTGGACTCTTAGCAGGGATACCAACTTTACACACGATTACCAACTTACCTAAACTTAACTGAGACCTACTAACAGAGGTGTCAACTCACCCGACAGCACCAGCACCAGCAAGGGGGTTGTAGCTCTCCTACCTCCTAGCATCTTGCATACACTTCAGCACCTCCTGAGGGGAACAAGTGGACAACACTGATCGGTACTGAAGGGAGATTAATATACTGTACAGTGCTGTATTTATATTATAATAATAATAATATAAATAATAATAATAATAATAATTATTATTATTATTATTATTATTATTATTATTATTATTATTATTATTATAATTATAATAATAATAATAATAATAATAATTATTATTATTATTATTATTATTATTATTATTATTATTATTATTATACAAATAAATACAACTACTACTAATAATAATAATTATTATAATTATTAATTCTGCAATTATTAATATTATTTCCGTCATTATTCCTTGTACTATTAGTCATAGACCGAGAGAGCTGTCAATAACCACAAAAGTGAGTTACAGAACCCACACTCATCCTTATCCTTACCCCCCCCCCTTTGTTTAACCCCATTTGGATGGGGGAAGAACTCCAACTTTTATGTAGGATACTACCATTCATGCCATTTCGGAGTTGCCCTATAATGGTGATGGATTTTTATGGGTAACCAAAGCAACTGAGGGTCCCCCAGAGGACTTTCTCTTTACCAAGTCACTGGTCAATGAAGGCCATATACAGTACAGGTCACGGCGCTGGTCTCTGCACCCATCCTGTATCTGGCGGGCAGCATAGCTCAGTCAGCGTTGCCGTGAGATGGTCTGAAGCCACAGAGACTCGGGGAGGAGGTTGTTCGCCTCAGGTTGGACTCTGTTAAGGAAGACTCGACCGAGAACCTTGCCAGCTACGGACAGTGGCAAGATCCGCGGCAGTTGCCAAACTCGGACATGTCTCTCTTGTTTTTAAACCTTTTTTTTATTCTATTAACAACTGATCGGCTGGTTAGCCGCTTGGGCGGTCGGACACGCCTCTGTTACGCACTGTTGGCAAGTACTGGGCATGCACTGGCTCCTGAATGTATCTGAACCGCTCCAGTGTTGACCAAGTCTGGTCTTGAAAAAGCTCACGCTCGGTGCCGTCACAACACTGGCAGATTGTTCCAAGAGTTCACAATTATCACTCCGAAAAAGTAACCCCTCACAGTTTTCTGGGCTTGCGGCTTCTTCAACCTTGAGCTGTGGCCCCCCTGTGGCCAGCTCCAGGTAAGGGCACTCGACTGAGTAGTGCCCTTTAAGATGCTTGTACTGTACACCTCAATTAGATCTCCCCTTGCCCGTCTGTAGTATAAGCTTGGCAATTTCAGGCGCTCTAATCTCTCAGGGTAGCTGAGGTGCCTCAGTGCAAGCACCAGTCATGGCATTTTCAATCAACTGACAGTCCCTAGCATATCTCGGGGACCAGATGCGGTGACAAAACTCCAGAAGGGGAAGCACTTCGCTCTAGAAGATCGCTACGAGGGACGGTATAGATATCTGAACGACCTTCTAATAAGACCTAATATTCAGGGGTCCTGCTTTAAATGCCTCAGCTGGGATTCCAGCATGTTAGGTAGCTTTGTTATTTTTCATCTGCTTGATGGAAGTAGCTACCTCGTCACGGGTTGAAGGATAATCGAAGTGGGCCAGCTCCGGGTGCTGAAGGATCTACTGAGTAATCAGGACATCAGCATTGATGTTTTAGTTGAGCAGGAAATGGTTGCGCTCTTTTTAGTGCTGAAGGATGCCCTCCTGGTCTCTAATTACTCTAATTAGGGAGTTGGTAGAGATGCTGACATTTGGCAGGGAATCATAGGGAGAAATGGACTTGGCAAGTATAATCCCAACGGCCTATTCCTCAGTGCCGGATTAACCATGAGGCACTTGAGGCACTAGCCTCAGGCCCCCCCGACTCTAAGGGGCCCCCAAATGCAAGCATTCTCGAAGTTGAAGCATATAAAACATGAACTTCGTTCAACGATGTCCTAGCAACGTCTCAATTTTCTGTCTTTTATGAACATTAAATGTGTTATTTTGCAGAAGCTTAATGTTGATGAAATCATTGATAAATTTGGGTATATTTTGTTCTTGTTATTTATATATACCTTGAGGGTAGGGGGGCCCTAAGTTGATCTGTGCCTCAGGCCCCTATTAAGCTTAATCCAGCCCTGCTATTACTCCTCAGCAAGTGTGCTGCACACAACCTCATTATCACCAATACCTTGTTTCGGCAGGCCGACAAGTTCAAGGGTTCGTGGCAACACCCACGATCCAAACACTGGCCTATCATTGACAACACCATTGTCAGAGAAAGAGATCGCCGAGATGTCCTCATCACCCGAGCAATGCGTAGCTCAGACCACTGCGACACTGATCATCGGCTCGTCAGAGCCAAGCTCTCACTTCACGTTGCCCCAAAACGGTGAAGGCAACAAGCCTCCAGATGAGGTTTTAACACTAAGCGTTTGCAGGATCCAGCGGTAACACATAATTCCAGAGAGCAGCTCGGACATGGGCTAATAAACAACCCAACAACAAACATCCCAAATCCCAGGGCCGAATGGAGTATTATTCTCCACACTGTCATGACAAAAACCTGCAGAGAAAGAATACACCAGGACTGGTTTGATGAAAATTACCCGGAAATCAATGGACTCGTCGATGCTGCTTTAACTGACTGGCAGAACAACCCTCAGTCTAGGACCAAAGCTGATACATTCTGCAAGAAAAAAGCGACGGCCCAGTGTGAACTTCACAAACTAAAAACGACTGGTGTAGAAATAAAGCATGTGAAATGCAAAAACTTGCAGATCAACACAAGATGTGTGAATTTTTCAATTCCCCTAAAACACTTTACAGGCCAATCACTTATGGCACAGCCCCCAATTGCTCATCCGATGGTAACTCCCTAATTAAAGACGAAGAAAGTATCCGTCAACGCTGGAAAGAGCACTACCATTCGCTGCTCAACCGAAAAACCGATGTGAATGTTCTGACTAACTGGCAGGTCCCTCAACATCCTGAACTGACCCACCTCAGCTATCCTCCATCCCTGGATGAGGTAGCTACTGCCATCAAACAGATGAAAAATAACAAAGCCTCAGGGCCTGATGAAATCCTAGCCGAAGTATAAAGCAGGAGGACCTCTGCTAACTAGCAGTCTCCAAAGGATTATCGCCCAAGTTCTCCTAAACAGACCTGAGGCGGAAAACTTCCTCACAGAAACTCAGTGTGGCTTTAGACCATCATGTGGCACCACTGACATGATCTTTTCTGCCCGCCAGATACAGGAAAAATGCACAGAACATAGAAGTGACCTTACATGGCCTTCATCGATCTAACCGAGGCCTTCGACTCGGTCTACAGGGAAGCCCTCTGGCGGACCCTCAGCTGGTTTGGTTGTCCACCAAAATTCATTGCCATTGTGAGGTAACCACGACGGCATGAACGGCAGTGTCTTGCACGATGGCACCCAGTCTGAGTTCTTCCCCATCTAAACGGGGGTAAAACAAGCATGTGTACTGGCGCCAACTCTCTTTTCCATTTTCTTGGCTGCCTTCCTTACTCGTGCTAGTGCCAATTGAGCCGGCGGGGTGGACATAGAGTACCAGATGAAGGATCTTTTCAAAATAAGACGACTCCAGGCAGGAACAAAGGTGTCGGCAGCTTCCATTACTGAACTTCAGTATGCAGACGACCACACCCTTGTCGCTCACACTGAACGTGACCGACGGGAGATCCTGAACACTTATGCAGATGCGCATGCACACTTCGGCCTTAAGGTGAATGTGCATAAGACTCAGATTCTCTTTCAGCCTGCCCCTGGTTCAGCCACACCTCCACCATCCATCCAGCTTAATGGTACTACCCTCTCTAGTGTTACCCACTTTCGGTATCTCGGCTCCCACCTGTCCACCACCACGGACATCGATAAAGCGATTCAACATCGGATCAGAAGTGCATCTCAAGCCTTTGGCAGACTCCGTACCTGTGTCTTCAGCTGTAGGGAGCTAAAATTATCTACATAGTTGCACGTATATCGAGCAGTGGTCCTCCCCATCCTGCTATATGGCAGTGAGACATGGGTTACATACAGAAGACACCTCAAGGCACTTGAAAACTTTTTCCAACGTAGTCTACGTTCCATCCTCCGAGTTCGATGGGAAGAAAGAGAACAAATGCTAGTATTCATGCTGACACCAACTGTAGAAGCATCGAGGCTACCATTATCCACGAACAACTACGTTGGCCTGGCCATGTTTCCCGCATGGACGACAGTAGACTGCCAAAGCAGCTACTTTACAGTCATCTAACGAAAAGTAAATGTGACGTTGGCGGGCAACTGAAAAGGTATAAGGATAGTCTTAAGACAAACCCGAAAAATTGCCAAATCCACCCCCTCACCTGGGAGACGATCATTCCACACCGTATCGCTTGGAGGAGCACCACACGAGGTTTCAATACTTTCGAATTAGCCCGACTGCAAACCGAGGCAGACAAACGCCAGCACCGGAAAGACGCTGCCGCCGCCCCTCCCGCACTAGATGGAGCCATCCACATGTGCAACTCTTGTGAACGACTCTGCCGGTCCCGTATCGGCCTCTCTGTTTACCTTAAAACTCACCAACCTAGGTGACATCCTTAATAACTCATATCATTGTATCATAGCTGGATGATCGTCATACTCGATTCCGAGTGACAGCAAAGAAGTAGTTTAGAGCCGTTAAGTTGGGATAGGTTAGGTTAACGTTAGGGTGGTTAATCTTCAGGTTAAAAAGCTGGGACGAATGTTCAGGTGATCCATTTAATCTACAATTTCAGACAAAAAATAAGGGATAACAGTATAAAATCACTGCTTCCCTCAATTCTTTAGTATCCAATTAAATGTGATCTCACGTCACCATCAAGAGAGTACAGTATTTAATATAAAATCCATTGGGAATCCAGACATTCGGATTTGTCCCCTTGACTTGGATCCTGGAATGTTAATGACAGCCGTGGATCATGAAACAGTACACACACATCCGTGCGTGCGTGACATACAATTATCGTTTGAGCTAGTAATTTAAATCACCCGCTAACACTGGACGATTGAACGATCAGGGTCAAGACAT